ACCTTGGTTGTAACGGGTGGTTATTTGAGTCACTGTTGCCCTTCTATCAGCTCGAACCAGTCTGGCCATTCTCCTCTGACCTCTGGCATCAACAAGGCATTTCTGCCCACAGAACTGCCGCTCACTGGATGTTTTTTCTTTTTCGGACCATTCTCTGTAAACCCTAGAGATGGTTGTGCGTGAAAATCCCAGTAGATCAGCAGTTTCTGAAATACTCAGACCAGCCCTTCTGGCACCAACAATCATGCCACGTTCAAAATCACTCAAAGCACCTTTCTTCCCCATACTGATGCTCGGTTTGAACTGCAGGAGATTGTCTTGACCATGTCTACATGCCTAAATGCACTGAGTTGCCACCATGTGATTGGCTGCTTAGAAATTAAGTGTTAACGAGCAGTTGGACGGGTGTACCCAATAAAGTGGCCGGTGAGTGTATAAAAAGGCATCAAAGGACACAGCATATATCTGTGCCGATGAGTGTATGTTCTAGACTTAATGTGACATATTGATTTCCTCACTTAGTGGTAAACCTGACAATAAAAAATAAACCCAATGATGTTTATAAACTGGCATGTTAAATGTGTTTTTTTTTTCATTGTCCAGAGTTTGTCAGAGTTTTGGCAAACAAAATCACACAATATGACAAAAACACATATAATAATCTACCTAGAACTTTATATGAATGCATCACAGGCAGATTATGTGGGTGATCACACATCTCTAACATAATTCTTTGTCTTACTGCAAGATGTCCTTTGTTATGCAACAGAGGTTAATTGTGGAAATGATGTCCTTCCTTCCTTGTTATGCCTCAGTGGTCTCCAAATCAACACCTGAATTTACCCTCTGTAATGTAATTAATACCTGTATCCATCTGTTATTACAGAAATGCCACTCAGTAGCACTGGTGCATGACGTTCCTGCCATCCGTGGATGCTTGGCTAAATACAGAACGTGAACATGAGGGAACAATATTGACTCCTTACAGCACAAGTTGAATTTGGCTTGTTTATTTTTAATGCTCAGTCAAAGAGCTGCACTGTTCAAGGCCTTTCAAACTATTGGTCTGATGGAAAGTTAAACACAAACACTACTTGAATATTCTGCTGGATAACTGGGCAGCCTTGAGTGTGAATATCAAATTCAGAGCGTGCCTCAGCATATCAAAGCGGTATCAGCCAACAGCGGGGTCAGAGATGCCCACAGAGATGGGCAGAGAGGGTCTTTGTTGCTTCTGTCTTACTCATTGTCATCTCACAAAAATGCTTTGACAAGCCTGACCTTGATGGCCAATGCAGTTGAGATGACGTTATTGGTGCAAACAGTGCTTGAGTTGTGGATGTAGCTTATTCTCATAGCCTGGTGCAGACCATGCACCCTTAAAGTAGTAGTATAAAGAAATTGTAAAACCTGAATGACAGATGAGTTCAATACTGCCATGGGGTTTGCTATCAGTCCTAGTCCAGGCTTAAGAAGATAAGATATAACTTTTTTCTTATGGCAATTATATCACACATAGTAATATTTGCAACATTACATGTGATCCAGAGGTAGATCTTGTGCAATACTAAGCTTCTTCTGAAAATACTCAATTGCATTAGTTTTTATTAAACAGTTTCCATATAAGAAGGCAGGATATGCCTCCCCCATCCTTGATACCCGTTGCAGATATTTAAAAAAGAATTTTAAAATCCACATAGATGTTTTCCCCGCTAAACCACTACTTTATGTAAACTGTTTGTAATGTGATAAAATATGAAAAACATCAAGGGATGTGAATATTATTGATTGACCAATTGATTAGTTTTAAAGAAGTTAGAAGAGAAGGACAACTTTCTCAAACTACTATGTTAAAATTAGTTTGGAGGGTTCAAACTGTTTTCAATTGATGAAAGTTTAGCAACACAGCTGACATGGAGTTAAAAACAACACATGAGTATGGGATATAAGGCCTCTGTATATCCTGGCTGAAGCCACATGTAATCTTAGATGATGATGACAAGAGACAGGCCCCGCCCAGACGGGCCCCACCCAGATGATATGTGTCCGTCATTACCGCCATTAATCAGTTCTTTTGCTCTTCACCTCACTAAGAACTAGTGTTGCACCGATGCCATTTTTTGGCCCAGTTACCTGGCTGTGCAGTATCGGCCAATGCCATACCGATACCATCTGTACCATGTGTGTGTGTATATATGAAGAACTGCATAAGACACAAGTGCACCCTCACAAACAATTACAGGTGATTGGCTCCAGGTACTCAGAGATTCACTTCCATACAGAAAGCCCAAATTCATATCTTCAGGTAACACAGAGTACATGTCAGACTTAATAATACTACTTTAGCGATAGTTTCAAGGTGTTGCTTTATTGTATATCTTGTACCATGTCTTTCAGTTGTGCTGTTCTTTTTTCATCTCGTTGCAGGTGATGAAGCAGACTGAAAATGTTTTGTCATTGTCTCCTTCCTATCTCCTCTTTCTTTCATCTTTTCTCTTTTTTTTTCCTTTTTCTTCTTCTGTTTTTCTGCTCTATTTACATTGCAGTGTCCATATAAACTGTAAAACTCCCTGCATAATTACAATAAAGCAATTTATATGCATGAAACAAGTGGAGCAGTATGGCAATTGCCATACTGCTACACTTGTGAAAGTAAAATCTGTTGGGCTCTTTTTGACAACTATTCTTATTGCCACATTGCCAGACAGGACAAAAAAAAAAAAAAAAAAAGACAAGAGACAGGCCCCGCCCAGACGATATGTGTCCGTTATTACCGCCATCAATCAGTTCTTTTGCTCTTCACCTCACTAAGAACTAGTGTTGCACCTGGCTGTGCAGTATCGGCCGATACTATACCGATACCATCTGTTTGAAATTGATGTGTCTGTGTATATATGAAGAGCTGCATAAGACTTGGATGTAAAATAATGCTGCCTACCTTTGTAAAGCAGGAGCAAGACTAATACAAAGTGAATCCAGTAGAACTTTTTATTACCTACCTGGAATGGGGGACAGTAGTTAAATAAACTTTTGGCTCTCAAAATGGTATCGGTGCCCTATTTGTCGATACCCACCGATACCGATTTTGCCCAATACTGGTATCGGTATCTCTGTTTTGGTGAGCCTACTTGAAATTAGTTCAACAGCTCTTGTAGGAGTTGGCCACTGCTGCCTGCCGGTAAGCGTGCCTGCCTGCAAAGCGCTGAGTTCAAATATAGGCCTACCTATGCTTTGTGGTTCGAGATGAGCACAAAGCAAACAAAAGTGAAGCACTTTTTAAGCAGGATACACAGGGTAGTGATATCCAATACTTGTGTGTTGTACTTATACTGTCCTACTTCGTTCCTCTCCTTCTGGTAATAGTAGTGTATACATAACCTTACATTTCTTGTTGATGTACTTCTCCTTCCGAGCACATGCCAGTTATTTTGTCCAAAATATAAGGACATTTGTTTTAGTTCTCAACTAAAACTTGTGAGCTCTACACTTCAGCAAAGCATTAGAGAGCAAATAAAACATATATGTCTGAGCTATGCACCATGTTTCAAACTGTTCCCTGAAGTAGTGAGCTTCAGCTTCACCACAGCAGCCAAGGTCATGCAACACACCCATACCACATGGTCGAAGATTGAGCTGGCAGCACTGAGCAGAGACACTTGAATCTGATATATTTTCTTTGTTGATACTTGGGCAGAAATAAACAGATTATCCAACAGTATAAAACGGATTGTCGAAAAGTAATCTTGCAACAAGAAAATAATTGACTGAAACACAATTTGTCTCAACTTGTCTCTACCTATTTCTGTAGTTCAAAAAAGTAAAAAAAAAAAACTAAAGTAAAAAACAACAACAACAACAACAACAACAACAAAAAAACACTGGACTTTGTTTCCAACTTTTGTTTTTTAACTTTTTTGGAATGACTGACTTGGGTGACTGAGAATCTTCACCAGCATATTTCTGGAGTTGCTCTTTCATTTTACAAATATTTGTATTTTTCATTTACATATGAAATACATTACATGCATCTATACATTTTCAAACTGAACTGGCACTTTCTCCATAAAAAAACAAACTCTAAACTCAGTAAGAGGAAAATGCCTGCTAATTTGTGCAAAGTAAATTCGTAAAATGGTCTCTGTAAGAAAAGAAATGTCTCATTATAATTCACGTTTATTCAGTTACAAATACCGTTAGAAATATAAAAATGAGGCAATAGGTTTCCAATTGTATTAATTAGTTTACTGAAACAGATCTCTCTCTCTGTCTTCTGGGTTTAATTAAATAAAAGAATATTTTTCGGTCTGTATAATACTGATTTTGTTCTTCTGGTCATTTAAGGGCTGCTAGTTGATATAATTTGTCTCTTACTAGAGCCTGTTTTGTGATAAAGAATCATTTATTTCATAAATTCTGAGTAGTTTCTGATAAACTTGGTCTAGATGGCTTTCTTCTCTTTTTTTTTGTTCCCCAATCCCCATCATTTTAAATGCAGGCTCATAAATCACATGCTTTTACTTTCACACAGCCATTGAAATCCATTTAATGAAAAAGCAATGCTCTTATCATTTTATACGATCCTCTTTGGTGCTTTTGCTCTGCAGAGTAAAAGTTTTTGCGTGCCATTACCGCTGAAGCTGGCCGCGGCAAGTCCAGTGTTTTTATAGCACAATCAAATCCACACAGCTTTTTATGAAAGCCATAGGATTGATTTTTGTCTCATAATAAATTGGCATCACAGAGAGAAGAATGATTGTTTTATTCTCTTTCTCAGCTGGTCAAAGATGTCAAGCTGACATTCACTGTGTGAGACCAGACGTTTGCTTGATGCTTCATGGCCTTTGTACGGCAACTCAATCACATGAATGCTGCCAACTTGATCACTGCTTCTGGCTGTTTTCAAAGCAGGAGGGGGGAGAGAGCAAAATGAAACCGAGAAAGGAGTATTTGCAGGCCTTAAACTAATCTTGATTTTGCTGATTTGTCTTTTGGTATTTCAGGTCTTTGTGAACTTTGCACAGCTCCAGCATGTAGAGGACGAGTCTCAGACCTACAACAATCCAGTCGACATTACGGATGAGCTGACGCTGAAGTCACTGAAGACCTCCCGGGGCGCAGAGAATGTTTAATGGAGAAATGAATGTATTATGTCTGTATTGATTAGCAATATATCTCAAACAAATTTAGATGAGTGTGATTTTCATTGGTAGCAATACAGTAATGGGCTTTTTAGCTACTATCCAGATTATTCTGTAAAATCAAACCAATTTGTAGATAATTATAGAACAAGTCAAATTTATTTTTACTACATTTCACAGTTTACGTATATAAAAGCTAACCTTATTTGTCCACATTTACTTATCAGATTTGCAAACACTTTTCAATGTGTGAATAATTTTATTGGCCCATGTGAATTTTAAATTCCAACAATTTTACAGTAATATTTCCATCAGACTCAGTGAAATCCCACATGTCAACTCTCCAACAGAGAAAGGTTATTTTTGAGAACTGAAGTGTAATGGCTTCAGGATGCATGCAGTGTCACTGTACTGGCAAATTTCCAAACAACTTATAATGGTGCAAGCACTATATGCCATCTACAAACTTTTAAGTAGTTAGAATACACTGAACCAATTCAATGAAAAGCAAAAACCTCAAAAACTAAACAGATTTCCTTACACTATAGATCCTGAGAGTGACTACTGCTCTAGTGTCTTTTTCACCAACTTTTACCTTGCAAGAAGGGCATCCATCAAGATTTAGTTATTAGATTTAACAGTACATTGATTGCTAGCTCCTTTAAAGGTGACAATTTAGATAGAAAAGTCAAAATAAGTCAGAAACAGTTTCTCAACGTTACCTTTTTTAAAAGACATTTTCAGGCTGTTTAGAAGGTATTATCAGTTTAATTTCCACTGTAGAAAAATTAAGTTCACTTAAAAAACATCTTTACTTACTTAAATAAAAGGTAACTGATGGCTGATGGTACTACTGAAAGGTACAGTACACACTAACATGCTGCTTCCAAAACCAAAACGATGCTTCAGTTACTGCTATTAAAGAAAAGAATGAGTGTGTCCCTTTAAAAATAAAAAATCCGGGTTAGTAATCTGGGCTTTCAGTGAATGTTCTGCTTCTTTCTTTATATTTATATCCATTCAAATACATTTTTGAATATTTTCTAGGACTCTCTAAAAAATTAACCCAATTTAAAGAAGTTGTTGGTAGAATTAGCAAATGTCTTTTTTTAAAATGTTTAAATAATGCCAAAGAAGTTTTGCCTTTTTCTTTTTTGCTGCTGTTTTATTTTTTGTTTTAGTTTTTTTTTTACCATGGATATATAATCTTATAAAGGTTCACAAGCTGAAAAAAAAAACAGCAGCGTTTTGTTTTAGGATTTGTTGCTGATCGGTATTTATCTCAGGGTTGGTCTGGTTGCCAGATTATCCTTTATGCCTTGCATCTTGCACATCAGGTAGAAGTTTGAAATATAGAATTATCATTTATTTGTATTTTGTAAAAACACTTTAATGGATGACTATTGCCTAAATGCACTGGACAGCAGCTGTAGCTCTGCACTATATTTACACTGTATTTGCTGACTGGTACTTTAGTGACCTTTTCACATTAGTGCCGAGATATATTGTAATGAATTTTGTCATTATTTGTGCTTTAAACATCATAGTTTTACAAATCTGTAAGACAGATTATCCTCATTTGTTTTTGTGTACAAATAAAAGCTGATTTGTCTCTAACTGTGATCAGCTTGGATTTTTTGTTTTATGAGTCTGTAAGAAAAAAAGTCAAAAAAGAAAAACAACATGCAATGATTTTCTTAACAAAAAAGTTATGCAGAAAATTTAAACTGTCTGTCTCTCATTCTACCCTTGTTCTTGGTATCCTTGTCCTGACTTCCATCCTAATACAGAAAATATAGACTTTAAGCTGATAACACAGTAAATTGAACCTCTACATTTTTATTCATGGGTTTAGCCATCCCTCTCTCTTGTAGATAGAATATGCTTGAAGTATGTATTTTAATCTCTTCACAATTTTGAACAAGGCTAACAATGTTTTGGCAAATAAATTGAAGTAGAACTTTAATAGATAGGAAAAGTCTATGTTTTAAAACTGTATTGTAATACTTTTTTAGCCTAGGTCACTTGCTGCTTAACTAATAATTAATGTACATTATATACTTAGTTTACACCAACATACTATTTGAGATAATAAACAGAAACCTTTAATGTTTTGTTCATTAGGAGCTACCACAAATGTTTGCTAAGCTAGTGTTAAATCTGACTTCTGTTCGCCAAATTATATTTTTCCCTTTATGCTTAACTTCAAAATTAGACAGGTTTGTGTAAACTTAATATAAGGAGATCACCAACTCTCTTAATCAACTTGGATTATTTATTTTCATAGTCTAGCTTCTGTAGGAGCCTAATGTCATATGAGGCAATTGACCCCAAATGAAAGTTTGTGCGAACGAAGAAATTGTATTCAAATCATCTACAGCAGCAAACATACAATCACAAACATAATTCAGTTTTAGTTTAACTAAATCATATTTATTTATAAAATAAAAAAGCATGATCAGCATTCATCACACTTATGCTTAGGAGATTTTATAGCATTTCATAGCATTGCGCAATAATCTTACCCAAACAAGTGACCTGTAAAGAAGCCAAATGGTGAAAATAAGCATCCATGTGGTTGTAAAACATTTCAAAATAAAGGACAAAAAATTCAAAAATGTAAACAGAAAACAGCAATGAGCTTCCATCTTAACAATAGTAATCACACAAAACAATGAAAAAGAACAAGCCCTGGTTTCAAAGATTTAAATGATTGAAAAACCTTTTTATAAGCCTCTGGTAATAGCAGTATTCTGAGCTATCACTGTGAGCTTTGTAGATGACAGACACCAAACACAACTAAACACACTGCTGATGGTGTAAATCAAGATTATAGTTATTGTATGTTGAATCTGATCACAGGAAATATCTCAAAACGCTGTTTATCTCCAGGTGTATCTGCAAATTATATTATTATGCCTTTTATAATGATTTTTAGTAAGTTTTTTTTTTTTTTTCCATCTTTAGCCATTTCTAGGAAACACAACACCGCTTCTACCTAAACAGTATGAATACATGTCGCCATGTTGTTCATACTTTGATGTAGTTTGTTGAATTTTTTTGTGTTGATTTTCAGAATTGATTTAGTTGTCAGCAATCTGACAAAAAATCGATTTCTCCCAAGGATGAACCAGACATGTAGAGGTAGACATTTTTTTGCCTGATATCTCATCAGATTTCTTTTGATTTTTTTTTATGATGTCACACAAAAAATGCAGTGTTTTTAAGGGCCAGGTGTACCTCATTTGAATCAAATGTTGTGAATTTACTTGCTGACAAAGTTGTTTTCAATTTTCTTCAGAACAGAACCCAAAAGAACTTTAGAACTAATATAACGTGTCATTTTTTATGTTGACTTTTTAAAGCTTTGCACACTCCTTTAATAAAGATGCAGATCAAACATCTTTATCAAATACTTATTGTTGGGTTTTGGAACCCCTCTGTTCAACAAAGGTGCACATGATATCTCAAAGAATAGGCAGAGCATACATGTTTTTGTCAAAGATGGTGAATGTGTTGTGGATCCAAACAGAGACTAGAAGGAGGTGGAGATTAGCTTTTGCTGATTTAATAAAGATGCAAAGGCACAGAAGCAAAATTCCAAAAACAAAATACAGAAAACCACACCTGAGGAAAACACATGAGGAGCAAAGTAACAACAAGAAACCAGCAATGAGGGACTGCACAAGGGGAGTATACACGGGACACTGAACAAATGGTAAATGGCATGTACTTATATAGCGCCAACATACAATAACTATAATTTACACCATCAGCAGTGTGTTTAGTTGTGTTTGGTGTCTGTCATCTACAAAGCTCACAGTGATAGCTCAGAATTCTGCTATTACCAGAGGCTTATATAGTCTCCTGACTTTGGTCAGGAGACTTGACCAAAGCGCTTTTACACCACATCCATTCACCCATTCACACACAGACTGATGGTCGCAAGCTACATTGTAGCTACAGCTGCCCTGGGGCTCACTGACAGAAGCAGGGCTGCCATACACTGGCGCCACCGGGCCCTCTGACCACCATCAGTAGACAATGCAGCTGAAGTGTCTTGCCCAAGGACACAACGACACTGAGTCGGAGTCGGGGCTTGAACCGTCAATCCTTCGATTTCAGGGCAAACTCCTACATCCAATGCCACTGTCGCCCCTGCTACAACAAAGACTGCTAATCAGCTGACATGGAGCAGGTGGGGATGGAACCAGCCAGAAGCCAGGGGAAAGGAGACTGGCACAAGGGTGCAAGAGAGAGTAACACAAAACACAACACTTTCAGAAAACTGCAAAGACACAAAATCACAGAAACCTAAACAAAGTGCAGAACCATGAGAGTTTTATGATGATGTGAAACCAAATTATAAAGATTAGTGAGGAATCTGCAGGTGAGAGTTTATATTTACCTTAATGGAAACAAAATCTTTATCTTTATCTCAGCCTAGGGTCAGTTAATCTTGTTCTTCAGATAATTGATGTAAGACACATATTACCATCATAATTACCAGTTTGCTGATATATGAGGCTCAGAGTATCAATCTAGGTGATAGTTATGCAAATATTCACCTCACTGCAAATATTAAACCATCCTAGAACACCTCACCTTAAAACCTCATACTATTAAAGTAATATATTACAAGTAAGTATTTCTTATGTACAAGTACATTGAACAGATTGGATAAAAAGGTATCTATGAAACTTTTAATCATTCTTTAGATCAGGGGTCTTAAACTGGTTCCAGAAAGGGCCGTCTGGCTGCAGGTTTTCTTTCCAACCAAGCTTTAGCACAACAGTCTCCATTCATCTCATCAAGTCATCATGTTCAGATTGCAATCAGTTGATGAGATTATTGTAGACTGGTGTGCTATTGCTTGGTTGGAAAGAAAACCTGCAGCCACACGGCCCTTTCTGTAACCAGTTTGACATCCCTGCAGTAAAGACTTGTCAGCCTTTGGTCTAGGTACACACTTAGAAGCTCCCTTGTGAGTCTATCATGCTAGTCAATGCTCTTCCATGTATTCAAGTTGCAAAAATACTGGCTTACAATAACTCTTTTTTTTTCAGTTTCAGGCACTGTTTTCTTTGCTCAATGTTTAATTTCTCTATCATTTCACTGTCTCTCCAATGTCAACACATTACATAAAGATTAATTCAATTCATTTCTTAAGTTCTAAACAACATTCTTGTGCATACTTTGTTTTACTTAAAACATTGAGAGTCCTAATAAAACTTCAAAACCCTCCATGCATAATTTGTGGTTTAGATGCAGAGCTTAACATAGCTCGCATTCTGTGTTGAATCCTCATGTGGCTGTGTTGCAAACAATAATGACTTGTTTTTTTCTGAATATCTTTCTAAGACAAGCGAATCAACATTTGCACAAATTGTAATATGACTCTGAATGAATGTTTGCTCACAGCTTTATTTGTCCAAAGACTAATTTGGCTCCCAGTTTGAAAAGTCTATTTAGTTTAATTTCCTTCATGCTGTTCTATTTACTTGTCTTCCCTGATTTTTTTTATTTTTTTTCCCCCCTTCAATCGGAGCTGTTTATTGTGGATTGTACAGTCTACTTCCTAAATCAACAGAATAGCCAGAAGTAGATTGGCACACAGCATTTGACTTCACTTTTGGTGGAGTAGTTTTATCCGAAAGCTGAAGAGATATTTATGTCTGCCAGGTGTCTGAGGTTGATTTCATTTTCTTGTTTAACTGTTTCACCAGTATGTTTCTTTACTTTTTGTGTAGATGCCACAGACTAGAAGGACAACTTCCTCTATAATACAAATTTAAATAAAGTGTAGAGAAAGACTTCTTTAAATACAATTGTACTTTATCAAAATTACAGTTTGAATAAAAATTTGTTCAGGGGAAATATTTATCGACCTGCGATGGACTGGTGACCTGTCCAAGGTGTACCCTACCTCTTGCCCTTAGACAGCTGTAGGTAGGCACCAGCACCCCTCGCGACCTTGCTTGAGATAAGCATGATGGAAAATGGATGGATGGATGGAGATATTTATCAACTGGTCTTTAGTGTGTTAGGA